GGGCTGGGAGGGCTTTATGAACCTTTCTAAATATAAAACTATGAACAGTTCTTGGATTAAAACAGTTTGGGACTACTCAGATGATGAGTTATGGGAACTCAAAAGGTGTATGGTTTGGCTGGCCAGAAAAAGGTTTTGATACTAACATATACCCCATTCATTTATAAAATCTCTTACAGCCTTATCACACCAAACGACAATTCTTTATTGAACAAGCTTCAGAAATCACTGCAGGAAATTATTTGAAAGGAAATTCTCTTCTTTCAAGTTGTGTGAAGAATAAGCTGCAAGAGGACAGTGAATTTTCAGGATTTCTATATTAAAAAAGAGACGGTATTCTCTGCATTAACCCTGTAAAAATGTTTGCGCAGAATGAAGATCATCTTCTCTGTATGATAAAAGCATGACTGAGTTTTATGTACTCTATCCCTACAGAAACAGTGACAATTATAATCTGAAAAATGCAATTTTCTGCAAGTAATTAAGTCAGAATTTTAAGAGTTGCCTAAATTTTTTGCAATGCTTTGGACAGAATTATTCTGAGTCATGACATTTCTAGGATTGCCTCAAGACTGCTTTTCTCCCTGTGGCATCTTTATCCTTTTTTTAAAAGAAAAAAGTGTATGTACGTTGCTGCTTTCTCTAGAATCTCTTACACTTTCATGACATAAATTTGAAATGTTTTTCTGCTTTCAGTGGGATGAGCACAACTGACTTAAATCAGAATTTTATATTACATTTGTGTTTATAGGAGTGGTACATTTCTAGGGGATTGAAAGATAAATGTGTTTCATATCCTTTTGTCTGATTTCTACTTAAATACAACTACTGCTACAGGCAATACACTCAAAAAATGCCCCTCACTTAGGGATTACAAGTAAACAGCATCAGAACTTGTCTGAGAATCTCTAACTTTATTTTGATGGCAAGGTGTTTTTAACATCAATAATCCATATTGTTCATATTGGGATATTTGATTTGGGAAGGAAAAATCTGTGGTCCTGAAAGATCTGGGACAAGACAGGCAGTTAAAAATCAGTTCAAGCCCAGTTACCAAAAGCATTGCTAACACAAGGTTATTCATTGTTTTTTCAATCACAAAAAAGATGGTATCACCTTTCAGAAATTTTTTAGCTGAGATTAGATTTACCTTTTTTTTTTTTTTTTCATTGTGCCATGTTCTCATTTACTGTCAAACAGTCAACAGGCTTTTCAGAGAAGAGAGATCTAACTCTGGAGTTAGTCATATTTTTCCAGATCCCTTGCACTTTACACAAACAGATTAAAGATTCCTTGCCAGACAAACATACTCTATGTTCAGCAAAAGTTAATACTTTTTGAAAGCCATAGTTAATGTATGTTCCATCATAAATTAATAGTCCATACAAGCATCTTTCAAATCTGGTGAGTTTAGAAAGCCAGCGACAGAGCACGGCTTCTGTGACATTGTACCTCAACATATAGCTCCAGACTCCCCTTCACTGTGAGAATGAGCAAGACATGGATGAAGTTTGTTTTCTACAGACACAGGTCTCCATTTTCTGATGGATTTTGAGAGCGTGCTATGCTGAGCAGCTCAACATCTTGCAGAGTAATTTCTGGCTGTGCACAAGCTCTCAACAGATCTCCACAGGAACCCTAGTAATGGAAAATGGAATCCAGAAACTTAAATTAAGCAACTACTTCCTCTTAATTTCCCACAGATTACTTCACATACTTCCAAAAATTCTAGCTTACAAAATTCCTCACCTTCCATACAGGTGCAACTGATGCCATGGATGATGTGGCCAAAAGTATTAGGAAAAAAACCCCAACACTGGGTTTTTTTTTTCCCTTTTAATGAATACTCCTTATTGAAGAAGTAAATTAACTTACTTTAGAAAACTCCATTCTAATTAGCTATGACTTGCTGGATTGATAAAAAAAAAAAAAAAAAAAAAGGATCTTTCACTTGGAACAGAGGTCAAAGTCAAATAAGCTTTTTGTGACACAAATGACTTCTTTTATGTGGTACACAGACCAGTCATTTAAGCATCAGCTGCACTGGGAATCAAGTTACTGCATATTTGCTTTGATAATTCAGGTCTACTTACTTGTTCAAAAGGAGCTAAAAGCCCCTTGTTTCTCAAAGGTGGATCAGAGACAGATACCAAATGCTTATGAAAGGAGGAGAGAGAGTCTGGAGGCTGAAATCCTTTCCTTGCTCTTTCTTGGTTCAGACATTCTTACAGCTCAATAAATTAATAATCTTTAAATAATTCTTAGTGCTCTCTCAAATCAGTATTTCTCAGAATAAAAGTTATCCTTCCTGACTTTTCTAGGTACAGCAGCATTCTGCTATTTTGGAAAGAGTAGCTCTGAATATTCACAGCAATATGCATAATCCCTACGGGCTGTGCTACCTCACCCTTGTGTCATATGTGATATATCACCATTTTCCCAGGCTGCTCTGCAGCTATTCCATATCAAGAAGTTAATTTCTTTAGTCTAAAATAAATAATCTCTCCAATGGGTTGCTGTGAATGAACACCTACAATCTGCAAGAGAGAGCAACATTAATCCAACGGTGACCGTCACCTTTCTAAATAGAATCCCTCCGCTCCAGCCCACCACAACTTGCTCACCAGCCAGACTAAATTGTATACATTTTCCAGGCTTTTGTACTCACCAACACACAAGTTTAATCTGAAGCGAAGCCCACAACTGCCAAACACTTTCCTAGACAAGTAACTCATGTTTCTTTTGTGCTGCTCCCTCTACACACAGAAATATGTTTATGCTTAAATTTTCATAAGATGTTGAAGGTTTTTATAAAGTTTCAAAGCGCAATTAGTAAAATGAATGACATGGATGGATTCATCTCAGCTCAT